TAGGTTATTATAGTTTTAAACAGAACTCAGTGTCACTTATTTAGCTTGATAGTGTAATAGTTTCTCATAATTCTCATATTTTGCCAGTTTCTGATAGTTTCTGATAGATTATTATAGTTTTAAACAGACGTCAAAGTCACTCATTACGCATCATTTAGATAAGTTTCATAATCATTATGGTCTGATTTTGTTTCCACATGAGTAAAAAGAAACGTCTTATAGTTTCTCATAATTTGTCATAGTTTCTCATAGTTTCTAATAGGTTATGATAGTTTTAAACAGAACTCAGTGTCCCTTATTTGTCTTAATTTAGATAAGTTTCATAGTCATTATGGTCTGATTAAGTTTCCAGGTGAGTAAAAATAAAAACAGTCTGATAGTTTCTCATAATTTGCCATAATTTCTGATAGATTCTGATAGGTTAGGATAGTTTCTGATAGGTTATGATAGTTTTATACAGACCTCAGTGTCTTTTATTTATCTTAATTTGGACACGTGTCATAGTCATTATGGTCTGATTATGTTTCCACATGAGTAAGAAAAAAAAAGTCTAACAGTTTCTCATAATTTGTCATCATTTCTGATAGATTCTGATAGGTTAGGATAGTTACTGATAGGTTATTATAGTTTTATATAGAACTCACTGTCACTTATTTAGCTTAATTTAGATAAGTTTCATAATCATTATGGTTTGATCATCTTTCCATATAGGTAAAAAAAAAAATTGTGTAATAGTTTCTCATAATTTGTCATAGTTTCTGATAGATTTTGATAGATTATGATAGTTTTAAACAGACATCAGAGTCACTTATTATGCATAATTTTGATAAGTTCTGTAATCTTTATGATCTGATTATGTTTCCACATGAGTAAAATGAAAATAGTCTAATAGTTTCTTATAATTCTCATAGTTTCTCATAGATTCTGTTGGGTTATGATAGTTTTAAACAGACATCATTATCACTTATCTATCTTAATTTGGAAACGTTTCATAATCATAATGGTCTGATTATGTTTCCACATGAGTAAAAAAAAAAATAGTCTAATAGTTTTTCATAATTCTCATAGTTTCTGATAGGTTATTATAGTTTTAATAGATAGTAATAGACAGTAATAGATAGATAGATAGATAGATAGATAGATAGATAGATAGATAGATAGTAACAGACCTCAGTGTCTCTTATTTCCCTTAATTTGAATACGTTTCATAATCCTCACGGTCTGATTATGTTTCCACACGTGCTTCAAACCAGAATTTCATTCATATCGACACACATTTAACCAGTTTTATAGCTTTAACTTCTATTTAATGTCAACGTCTCCTTCCATAGGAGGATGTGGTCTCTTTTAAGGTGGAAATTAAGACACAAATAGTGGGGAAAGTTAGTTTAACTCAATTTTAGACTGAATTATTTTTTTCTGTGGTGTTTCAGTCTGGTTTTTTAAAGCTTCTGAGCAAGGAATCTGCTCTTTTCGGGGTTTTAAACATCACATTTCAGCTTAATTCAGCATAAATGAGCTGTGGGGTCCCACAGGGCTCCGTCCCAAGACCCCACTTCGTTGTCATGGTGATGATCATCTAATCTACAATCGTTTTCTTCCCATTTCCAGTCCGGGAAACTCAGTTTTCACCCCATTTCCAGCCCGGAAAACTCAGTTTTCTTCCCGTTTCCAGCCCGGGAAACTCAGTTTTCTCCCCGTTTCCAGCCCGGAAAACTCAGTTTTCTTCCTGTTTCCAGCCTCTTTTTCTCCCATTTTCAAACTCTTTTGTATCTACTTCTGTTTGACAGAAGGTCAGAGACTTTCTAAAGTGCCAAATGCATAAATATAATCATTTAAACCACCAGTCTGGGGTCACTGGGATACTCCTATTTGACTCCCGATGTCTCACAGAGCTGATTTAAACACTCTGTCGGTGGTTTTTAAACATCTTCCTGAACCTCAATACTGTCTTAATCTAAATCTGGATAAATTACATTAATGTCTGGTTTCAGATCATCGTTTAGTTAATTTTTTCTTCTCAGTGACACTCAAAACGAACAACAGGAGCTATTTGTTAAAGTTATAGACTTAAATTAAAGTAAAAAACTCTTTTTTTTTTAACTCTTTGGTTATTTGGGAAGTTATTTAGGTGAGTAAAATGTCGTATATGATCAGAAAAGTTCCCTCCCTTCAGCTGGTTTGTTCCTAACGTCATATTTTTGTTTTTATTTGTTTGTTTTGAACTCTTCCTCAGGTGTTGTGCATGTTTTTGTTTTTATTTGTTTGTTTTGAACTCTTCCTCAGGTGTTGTGCATGTTTTTGTTTTTATTTGTTTGTTTTTAACTCTTCCTCAGATGTTGTGCATGTTTTTGTTTTTGTTTGTTTGTTTTTAACTCTTCCTCAGGTGTTGTGCATGTTTTTGTTTTTATTTGTTCGTTTTTAACTCTTCCTCAGGTGTTGTGCATGTTTTTGTTTTTATTTG